AGCTTTGGTGGGAGGATTCACATGAGCACCGGGTAGTGGGTGAGTCGGATTTCCAGTTTTGAAGAACATGTCCAGCAACAATAGCTATCTGGCAAAAACAAAAAGGTTGTGATTCGGAGGCTTTCCACGCGCGAGGCTTTGCTGTTGTTAGAGGGGAGTGTGTTAGGGAGGCGGCGTGGGATGGGGCGGGATGGCAAAGGAGTTGATTTATTTTTCAAATTCGCATTTATGAACACGAAGAGGAGAGCTGTCAGCAGCACACATGGCAGTGTCCAACTAGCAGCCAGACCTGCCTCTGCCCGCCTGGCTGGGACAGACACTGAATGACATCTTGCAACCCAGCCACAGAATCAGATAACGGATACTAGAGAGAAGAAAACAGAATGAAAGCAAAAGAAAAAAACAAACAGCCCTGAAAAATGTCCAGTCAGGCATCATCACTGGATAGGAATTGGGGATTTTAATGAATAGATGAACTGTGAGATACTTGGCCAATCAAAACTAGAAAATGTAAAGGCAAGCCATAAAATATGCAGCCCCTCGTGCATCTCCCTTTGACAAAAACAAGCAACAACACAACCAAAACAAACCAAAAACCCCACTGCTACAGTCCCTTCTGACTCTGAGCAACTCCATGGAGTCTAGTGATAACCACCCGAAAGAGGTGCCAAGGCTGTCTCTCTTTACATAAGCAGACTGCCACATCTTTACTTAAGGGGGCCACCAAGGTCGTTAGTAGTTGAGCACTTTCACCATGGCTCATGTATGTTATCTGCCTCTCAAAAAAAAGAAGCCAAACTGGATGTCATCAAGTTGATTCGGACGCTTAACAACCCTATAGAAGAGAGTCCTTGTAAGTTTCCCAGAAGGTAACTCGGAAGGAGAGAGCCTCATCTTTTCTTCACAAGATATCATCCTCCAAAAACCAAACTCACTGGCGCTGAGTCAATTCCAACTCAGAGCAGCCCGATAGGACAAAGTAGAGATGCCCCTGAGGGGTTCCAAGAGTGTAACTCTTTACGGGAGTAGAAAGTGTCATCTTTCTACTGGTAATAAATGTAAGAGAAATCAATTTAGCATACAGTGACAGCTAGAGCTCATGCGCTCAGCAATGGCACTGCTTAGATGAGTTGCAAGGGCCGAAAAGACACAGCAGAGTGCTTATTCTCGGGCTGGCAAGCCAGGAACTACATCCAAAATATATCCAGGCTCTTGAGCTGCATTTTGAGGCCCACATCCTACTAGAGAGACAACAGTCCCTCTCTAGGTCAGTGATAAGACTGCAACGAAAAAGCTGCATGCTATTTTCTACACCGAGATGGGGAAGCTGAACAACCAGCAGTTCAACAGCTTCAGAAATCGACTAAAAATACTATTTATTCTACAAATAGAAACTCAGACATGTTAACACGCTCCTTCAGTTATACCTCAAGTAACAATTTATATAAAGTAAGTCATTAAAAAAATAAACAGGATAATGTCTATCAGTGGGTTGACAAATTATGGTCTGGCCAATGTGGGATGCCTCTCTTTCAGAATGATTAAAATGAGTTAACAGAACACTATACAGCAAAACAAAAATCCTGCAAGATCTGTAGGCACCAGGGAGAGAGTGTGAACACAGTAAGGGAGCAAACTGAAGCTAAAGCAGCTCCAACCACTGTCGTGTGTGAGGATTACTTTACAGAAAGCTGCACAATGCTTCCAAATGTACAGTACCCACTCACACGGACGATTACAATGGGTCCTTGTAACACCATGCGGAAATGTCACAATAGGCATTGTCACTCCCATTTTACAGAGGAGAAGACTGAGCTTCCAAGTCACATAATCTATGACTCGTTCCATCAGTATACTCTGATGCCAGAAAACATTCTTATACTCGGAGGCTAAGCCCAGCTGTGCTAAATACCAAGAGAGGTGAGATAGGCAGTCCACAAAATAAACTTCAGCCTACCTTCGTGCGTCCCTAGATATGAGGAGTCATTATAAGTGAGATGTTAAACTGCAAGAATATAAAATTAAATAAGAGGTTTATGGGAGTTCTGGTTTTCTAGAAGTTCACCTTGCATCACTGTTATTTATACTTTAACACAAAAGCTAAAGGGGAAGAAAACACAATGATGAAAACAAACAACTTTAAATTTTTGGTTTGAAACAGCACAACCCAGATGTACAAAAGAGCTTCGAAAAGTTCTTGGGAAGATGCCATTATGTCCAATAGAATGAACAGATATTGGCATTTTCCCATGAACGTTTTGAAGCCCCCTGGTATGTGGCATGTTTCGAAGATCCAATCATTTTGTCTTGCAAAATGTGTTTGTGAATCCTACTGCTTAGGAACCCTGTGATCTCAGAAAGTGGTGACCTGGTCTCACAAGGGGTGCATGGTAAAGCAGAAGGCCAACGCACAAAAGGAAGCCTCTCAAGGAGATGGATTGCCACAGGGGCTGCAACAATGTGCTCAAACATAACGATTGTGAGGGTGGGGCAGAACCAGGCGCTGTATCCTACAATTATACACAGGGTTGCCACGTGAAGGCGCTGGCTTGGCAGCACCTAACAACAACACAACAACAACAGATGTGATTCAACAGACACACTTAACAGGCTATTTTAAAATTCTGTACATGAACTTATTTTAAGCTTTCGAGGTATTTTCTATTTCAAATCCCCCACAGAAATAAAGAGTTCCTTGTTCAATGCAGAGTAAAAGAAAAGCAGCGAGAAAGAATGCACTTCCAATCTTTGAGTCAATGTCTGCACAAATCTGACGAGCAGAGGTGTTGGGGACAGTAGAACACTGAATGATATAATACAGGCTGGAAGAAAAGTGTTTGCAAAGACAAACTTCCAATTACTAGAGAAAGGTAGACCCACAGTCTGACTTTAAACACTGAGGGCACAATGCATTTGTTTCGGGGCTTTGTTGTAAATCCTCAGTGGCAAAATCTGACTGCAGTCCTGGGACAACTGCATTTAGTAGGGCTGCGCATATTTAAAATGTGCATTAAATGTGACATCTAGTCAAATGTTGTGCTTCTATCACTAAAGACAAGCCAGGCAGATTTACTTACAGTTCTTGGAGCCCTATGTCTAAGAATAAAATTCATTTCCTCAACTGAGATAATTGAACTCCAAGGATCACACAAACTCTTCTGCAGGAAGAAATGTAGAGGAAATGTGGTATTCCCTTGTTCAGTGGAGAGTAAACAACCTTTGGGAAAAAAAGTTTCTACACTGCCAAAAACATCTCCATCAGCTGCTGAAACATTAATAGTCGCAACTCTTGAATACATGTAAGTTTAATCATGCAACCAGTTGAGTTCAAACTTTCAATTACAAACTACATGCCTTTCCAAGGTCGGCTCTCGGCACAGTGACAGACATTGTGCAGAAATCAATACTCTCTCCAACTTGCCTGCCTATAAGGACTTAACATCAAGCACGGTTCCAATACCAACGGGCATTCTATGTCCGAGATGCGTGCAGTCATGCTTGGTCCGGAGAGCATGAAATCAAACCGCCAGAGCATACAGGAGCTGCCCTCTCCATAGAGCGCCTCCATAAGGACCAGGGCAAGGCTTTGCCTCCACGCGGTGTATGTTTCATAATCCGAGTGCACAACACTAGCTGCTACCTAAGGCTGTTGCCTAACTCCTTTGATAGTTCTAAATTAGCTAGAGAGAACAGAAGGGAAATAAACCATTACTCCCGAAAACAACAGTGTGAGTTCATTTGCTGAGAACCAAGCAGCCACAACAAGAAAAGCCACTGACAAGTACAAAGTAAGTTCGCGCTCCGTGGCCTCAGCTAGGAGCGCGGAAGTCGCTTTCCCATCAAATCCACCAACCCCTTCGACCACTTCGGGTCTCCCTCCTCTGCACCGAGACCCCCGCCCGGCAGATTCGCTCGCTGGCCAATCGCAGCTGGGTGGACGGGCCAGAAAAGTTGAGAGGAAGGGGCAGAAGCAGACAAGTGCCGGGAGCCTGCACCCCAGCGTGCACCTGGTGCAACTTCAGAGCCCCCAGAGGAGAGAAAGAAGGAAGCAGGCGCCTTCGGGAAGGCTAACAAAACTGAAAGGCGGCAGAGGAGGGAGCAGCGGGCCGGAGTTCCCCCACGGCTCCGCGAGGCTTTACTTAAAATCCAAGGGGCTAAAGTTCGAGGCCGCATCACGTCATTTTTGTGGGGGGTAGGGGGGGTTTCTCCTGGGGGAGCAATCGCTTGCAACCGCCATCAGCCGGCTGGCTCCAGGAGTACTTGGGACACCTTCGCGGTCGCTTTGCCCAAAGGAACCGGCTCTCACTGAGGATCCGGATTCCCCGAGCCGGCGACCAGAGCTCGCTGCCGGGACGGCTCCTTCGAATCCAATTTCCAAACATCGTACAGGCTCCGCCAGCACAATCGGGACACGCTCCAAGCAAAGCCCCAAGTCACAGGACAAGTCGAGTAACAACCCAACGCTGGAGGTGGAGGGCGGTGGGGGAGGGACAGGGAAGTCGTGGGACAATAATCGAGGGAGGACTGTTCTCGGGACAAAAAGCACCTGGCAGAGCGCGCCGACCGAGGTCAATCCCTTCGAATCTCCACACTGCTGACAATGGCTTCCCGGGGAATTTTTTCTTTCTTTCTTTTTTAACACTAGTAGCCATAAGCCCGAACCAGGAGCAACAAAGTGGCTGCCCCCAGAGTCGTAACTACTTTTCCTCTTCTCCTCCCTAAGCCAGGGCCATGCTGCGCTGGGCGCCAGGTCTCTCCCCACACTGTCGCCCCGCGCCCCGAGCGAGCCGCACGCCCGGGAACAATGGGGCGCCGAGAGCAAAGTTACCTGTCCCCCCGGGGCGGGCGGTGGCCCGCGTCCCACCTGACACAAACTCGGGACCTCTCGCTATCCAGGACATCCGAGACCCACGAAAGCCCCCCTGCAAACAATCGCCCCCTGGCTCTGGCGAGCGCCGGACCTCCGTCGGGGCCCCGGACGCCCTCCCGCCGGCACTCACCTGCGGAGAACTGGCCGTGGACAGACCCCAGGAGCGGCCACGGGCAGAGGAGCCACAGCGCCGCAAAAGCAGGCAGCGCCGCCGCCGCCGGATCCATGCCGAGTTTGGGAGAAGTTTCAAGCAGCTTTGCAAAGAGCTGCCGGCGGGATCGCGGCGAAATCCACGGCAGAGGGGCGGCCGGACCCGCGGGCCAGGGGCTTGGAGTCCGCAGCCCCCCGGCGACACTTTCCTCTTCTCGGCCGGCGCCGGACTACCTCTGGGGCGCAAGCGTCGCCCGCACGGGCGGCCGGCCACGGCGGCAGCTCTCCATGCGCGGCGGAGGCTGCTCCTGGTAGCCCAGAG